GCCCTATTTGTCGACTTGCGATGGGAGTATACTTTGTGTTTCGGCGATTCGAGATGGGAATCCCATTCTCTTGCGCTCGTTTCGAAGGCTGATCGCCCACCATGGCGGAGTCAGTCGGGCAGGATTCAGTATCTCCAAGGTAAAAACGTCATATTTGTGATGCCAGCTGCGATGCCGCTTTGACACTAAGTGGTGCTGTCACAGTGATTTCGATGGCATAAAAGGGGCTGCGATGGCATCAATTTGTGACAAATGGCGTCGCAGTTGGCATCCCAAACAGGCTGTTTTGCACTGCTGCAGGATGGCGACATGACACTGATATGACATCGCTGGGAATGGAGATTCAGCATCTGCAAAGATGCCGTGAATCACCAGGATGGTGACATGATGCCAATGTGATATAGTAGCGACACACAGACTGACTGGATGGTCTGACCGTCAAGGGCCATCGCTGCTCGGGATCTGTTGGTGACTTCGTCGCCTCCAGCTCTTTCCCAGGCTGCATCCAGACTGCCTCCACCAGAAACACTTCCCTAAGAGCGACCTATCAGGGCAACGGTGGTGACCACCATACATACACTTCGCTCAGACGGGGGGGATTTGCTTTGGATTCCTCGTTGCCCATGTTGCCACAGGGCTGTCGTTTGTTGGCCGGAGCATGGACAGCTTGGGGGAGGCCTTAGGTGGAGTCGATGGATACGTCGCGTGCCTGCCAGGCTCGCGCGGGCCGCCTGCCTTCCTGGACCCCAGGCCTGTGTGCGCTGCCTTGTGGAGGCGATGGTGCCTCCCGCAGAAGAAAATGCCAAGTTGCCCACTTGATCGCTGGCGTCGTCATTGTCATCATCATTTTTTGACATAGCAAGGCAATGAGGTAGCCGTCAGCTTCCTACTTTGCCCTTGATCGGCATCACGAGCGGCATGGGTCCAGCTCGGGCCAGTATCACACGAATCTCGTTCTCAGCGAAGGGGGTACGCGGCGGGCCGGCAGGTCGCCGAGCTGTTGTGTCGTTCGTAAGAATGTGTTTGCTCCTGCGTGCAACAGAACGCTGGGGGGAGTCCTTGTTCATGTATTATGAAGTCCGTCTCTGGTATGTGCAGGAAAATTTCGCGTGATTCTGTTGCTCTGCTGTCGATTACGCACCAAGACTGAAAGTGAGTGCTGCAAGATGCAACTCTTCAAGGTTCGCTTCAGACCTGCGGTAGTGGTCTCGTGTCCCTGCGTGGGCTCCCATTCTAGGGTTCGGTTACTGAATCACAGAACTCTGGGGCTCACCTGTTAGGGCTTGGGAGGGGAAGCAGCAGGTTAAGTTGGAATGGGACCTGTGCACGTTGTTGCGAATCTGATCTCTATGTTTCAATCCAAACATTCGACCACATTCGATACGAAGGAAGCGCATTGCTCACGGGCAAGCAAGCCTCCGTCGCTGACGTTACCGCGTCCAGTTGCAATTCAGAGTCGGCTCTGTGACGACACTCGAGGGGACGCTCGCGTCAAACAGGATGCACAGACGACCAGCTCGTCGCTTTCGAGAATCAATTATCAAAATCGTGTCCGCAGTGACAAACAAAACTGCCAGCATGCCCACATGCGTATGCGGGCATAAAGTACACGCAACATACATACATATATACATACAATTATATGCATGCACAAATGATGAGATTGTCAATGAAGAAACAAATTGGCGACTGTCCCCAGCGAGGGCGGCATCCCACAACGTCGCCCCTGACCGCCGCCGCCGTGCTAAGAGACACACCGACCTCCCCCCCGCGCCCCCACCAAACCACCACAGCGGCGCCGGACCCTCGCGATCCCCCCCTTCCCGAGGCGAGCGTCACTCCATACCTACGCTTGCTCTACGCTTGGCACGGGCCACCGCACTCCTTGTGCGCTGCCGCGAAAGGTCATCATCATCATCATCATCATCATCATCATCATCATCATCATCATCATCATCATCATCATTTTGCTGTGCAACGCCACGGCCATGGCCCCAATCTTGGGGGGCGGATGCCTTAGACGGCCAAGTTCCCGTTCTCCGCCAGCCACGACCAGTCCGCAATCCACAGGTCGTCGGCGTCCGCGGAGAAGGCGCCCCTGAAGCCGACCTGCTCGAAGAATCCGTCGTCGGGGAAGGGGTCCACCGAGGAGGCGGTCAGCAGCGGGGAGTCCGGCGTGGGGCGCGGGTCGTACATCTCCGTGGACTCGGCGTCCGTGGGGATGAGCTGCAGCTCGGCGGGGGTGTCATCAACCTCCGTGAATCCGTCGCAGCCATCCTCGAGGTCGAACTGCACGCCGGATCCGACGGTGTTGATGACGTTGTTGGAGGAGAACCAGAGGTAGTTGGGCGCGCCGGCGGCCTCCGCCTCCGACTGGTCGTGGGTGCGGACCTCATTGCCGCAGTCCGTCTGGAGGACGCCAGCCCTGGGGATGTTGACCATCACGACGTTCGCAAACTCCCCACCGGTGTTCTCGCGGAGGCGCATCATGGCCTCTAGGCGGTCGTCGGACGATACGGGCTTGGGGTTGGCGGAGACGGAGCCGACAAAGAGGGCGTTGTACATCTGGGGGAAGGAGCGCGGCTGCTCGTTGCCCACCTGGGAGTCCATCTCCGTGCCGTGGTGGCCGGTGAGATCGACGACGACGAAGACGAACTGCAGCTTGCCGTTGTAGCCCAGGTCAGTGTCCACGGCGTCGTCGCCGACGAACAGGACGGACACGTACTTGGCGTTCACGGAGCCGCCAAAGAACTCCACACCGTCGTCCAGGTTGAACTGGGGGGCCAAACACAAAAAAAAACACATCAACAGGCCGGCCCGTCCCAAGGAGAGCGATCCAGCTGCGTGCTTTACCCACATACGAGTGCCAAGGGCAAAGACACTGCGGCGCTCACAACGGGCGGGCCCCAGGGCAAGCGCCCGAATGCACGACGGCCGCTCCGCCAAGCAACGCGCACGTAAGAACGCAGCCTACACGAACACAACGCGCAGAGGTCCTTCGAAACGCATTCAGACGCTGATTGCCCCCCGGTCCTCGCGAACACGGCGACGACGAAAGCGGCAGGAACAGGACATACCGCGACTTCGATGTGGTCCACGGCGGTGCCGCTGCCCACACCGGCGAAGGTGATGCCGTTGATCTCGTTGTTCTCGCCGATGACGGAGCCGCCATACCAGACTCGCACATGGGAGAGTGTGCCGGAATTGTCAGCCGGGTCGTCCCCACCGTACTTCACGCCGCGGATGCCCTCAACCTCGGCCTCGCCACCGGAGACGGGCGCATTACCCAGAACGATGAGGCCACCCCACATGCCGCGTGCGGGCAGAGCGTCGGGATGAGCCGCAGAGGTGAAGGTGACGGGGTCCGCGGCCGTACCCTTGGCCTCGACCTTGGCACCCCTCTCCACAATCAGCGCCGGCGCCTTGCCGGTGCCATCATCACCGTACGCCCAGACGGTGGCGCCGGCCTCAATCTTCAGGGTTGCGCCCGACTTGACGAAGACCTGGCCGGTCATGAGGATGGTGTCGTTTGCGGGCCAGGTGGTGTCCTCGGTGATGTCCCCCGACACGGTGGGGCCCCAGATGTCGTTGGGGATCTTGCCGGCGTCGCTCAGCCACGACCATCCCGCCAGCCACATCTCCTGCCCGAAGGCGCCTTTGTACGGCACGGACTCGAAGAAGTCGTCGGACGGGACGTCATCAAGGTCCTCGAAGGCGACGCTGTTGGGCAAGGGGCGCGGGTCCACGAAGGGCGAATCCTCGTTGAGGCCAGTGGGCAGGAGCACCAGGCCAAGGTCGTCGGCCTCGACCGTGTCGAACAGACCGTCGCAGCTGTCGTCGAGCTCGAAGTTCTCGATGGCGCCGCTCATGACGTTCTTGGCGCTGAACCACAGGTAGTCGGGTGCGCCGCCGGACGGGAGGGCGTGCGTCCTGTCCTCGCTGCCGCACTCGTTCTGCAGAACGCCGACGCGGGGGATGTTGGCCAGGATGATGTTGCCGAACTCCCCGCCGGTGCCCTCGCGGAGGCGCATCAGGCCCAGGTCCTGGTCGTCGGAGCTGGGGGAGCCCGGGACGCCGCTGCCGCCGACGAAGAGGGCGTTGTAGACCTGGGGGAAGGAGCGCGGCTGCGCGTTGACGTCGCCGTTGGTCTTGGAGTCCATCTCCGTGGCGTGGTGGCCCTTCTCGCCAACCAACACCACCGCGAACTGGATCTTGCCGCTGTAGCCCTCGTCCGTGTCGATGCCGTCGTCGCCGCAGAAGAGCACCGACAAGTACTTGACGTTGACGGTGCCGCCGAAGAACTCCACGCCGTCGTCCAGGTTGAACTGGGCGCAGGACACGAACATAAAATCAGAAGCCACAGAATTCTGGTAGAAAACAACATGTCTGCGATGCGCACTGCGATGCTGTTTTGACACAAAGTGATGCCGTCACAGTGATTGCGATGGGATAAAGTGGCTGCGATGGCATCAATTCGTGTCAAATGGCGTCGCAATTGGCATCGCAAACTGTACTGGCTTTCGAAAGCACTGTGAGCAGATGGGAACGCACACGCTCCACACATGCTGAAACATGCGCTGCAAAGTCCCCGGTGCTGACAACGCTCAGTTGCCGCAATCAATCAGCAGGGCACTGAGTCCACCAGCACGTGGCGCAACAAAGAAGTGTTGGACGAGCCAATGACAAGCCAGCAACCCCAGTTCCCCATTCACGCACATATTTTGCAATAAGACGACCCTAGTAAGAGAGCCAGAGAGAAGCCACCACCAGCCCAACTGGGTGCCGCGCCAGGCAACCCCGAACACACCAAGGTGGTGAAACAGCACCCAACACCCGCAATGCGTCAAAGACCGTGGCGCCCCTTCCCATTACCAATCTTGCGCAGCATCCCGCCCCTCCTTCGCCCCCCAATTCATTCCTGTCCTTCGCCCCCGCCCACCCGCTGCCTCCGACAGAGTGGCCGGCGACACTCCTGAGTCCGACCTCCAAGAAGTACTCACCGCAACCTCGATGTGGTCCACAGTGGTGCCGCTGCCCACACCGGCGAAGGTGATACCGTTGATTTCATTGTCGGCAGCGATCGCCTCTCCGCCGTACCACACGCGCACGTACTGCAGGATACCCGAGTTGTCGGTTGGGTCACTGCCACCATAGGGCACGCCCTCCAGCCCCTCCACCTCGTTGGATCCGCCCTCCGTTGAGATTGGCGCATTACCGTTGATGATGAGACCACCCCAGGTGCCCCTCCTGGGCAGGTGCCTGGCGTTGAGAGCGGAGGTGAACGTGATGGGGGCATCGGCGTTGCCCTCGGCCATGATCTGGCCGCCGCGCTCCACGACGAGCGCGGGGGCCTTGCCTGCGCCGTTGTCGCTGTACGCAAAGATGGTGGTGCCGGCCTGGATGGTCAGCGTAGCGCCGTCCTTGACGAACACCTGGTCCGTGAGCAGGTACACAGTGTCGGCGCTCCAGGTGGTGTCGGCCTCGACGTCCCCGTCCAAGATCTTGCCGGGGATGTTGTCGGGGATCCTGGCGAAGTCGTCCAGGAAGGACCAGCCCGAAATCCAGAGGTCCTCGTCGAAGGCACCGCGGAAGTCGACGGGGGTCCAGAACTCGTCGTCGGGGAGCTCATCCACGCTGTTGAACACGGCGCTGCCGCGCGACACGGGCCGCGGGTCGATGAACGCCACGTTCTCGTCGATCACGCTCCCCACCATCGTCAATCCAGGTGCAGCCTCAGAGCGCGACTCCAGGCCCTCGCAGCCGTCGTCAAGGTTGAAGGGCTCGTCCACAGCGGCGATGATGTTGTTGGCGGAGAACCACAGGGTGTTGGGGCCGACGTCGTCGCCGTCCTGGCTGATCAACACCTCCGCGCAGTCGTTCATGCGGACGCCGTGCTCGCCGACGTTCACCATCACGATGTTTCCGAACGAGCCGGCGGTGCCCTCGCGGAAGCGCATGAGGCCGGAGAGCTGGTCGTCGGAGGAGGGGGCGTCCACTTCGGAGGAGCCGCCCACGATGAGGACGTTGTAGACCTGGGGGAAGGAGCGCGGGGTGACGGCGTCGCCGCCGTCGAGGATGCTGTCCATCTCGAAGGCATGGTGTCCGCCGCGGCCCAGCACGATGAACACGAACTGGATCTTGCCGGAATAGCCCTCGTCCGTGTCTATGGCGTCGTCGCCGCAGAACAGGACGGAGAGGTACTTGGCGTTCACAGTGCCGCCGAAGAACTCTATGCCGTCATCCAAGTTGTACTGCGCAATACAGGTCACTGACGTCAGACAGTCCCTTCTCTCTACACGGGAGAGCATGGAGCAACGGCATTTGCGGTCCATCTATCTGGCGCATTGCAGTGAGGGCCTTACCACACTTCATGTGGGAATCGCGCTTACTCCTCGCCACAAGCAATGATGGCACATTGCCCAGTCAATGCGTTGCGGCGACGCACAACAGCGAGGCACAAGGAGAGCCAATGCCCATCCAACCGGTCCGCCTAAATCCAGCGCCACAAGCACACGCCGCCTGAGCAGCGCTCGAGCGCCTAGAAACTGATGCATGCGGCGAGGTACGCCAACATGGTCAATAGGTCCGTCCCGCACCAAGAATATCCCTCTATGGGGACCACGCGCGGCCGGCCAGGTGGCAGTACCCGCTTGGCCGATGGTCACAGGGGCCCACCGGGATACGGGCGAGCTGAGTGTATTGGCTTAGTCACAAGATCGCGGTCATCCACATGAACAACAGGAAGATGCGGGCCGCGAGCTCCTTGATCCGCATGCTCTACTCACTAGTACTTCGCTCAGCCATAAGAACGCGGTCCCCCAGGGCCCCACTGCTTCCAAGAAAATGACAAAGCAAGCAGCATACACACGTACACACACACCACCAGCAGCCACTGGGACATGGAGAACAATCGAGATCGCAACGCTCAGCCCATTGACCCAACAAACCCATCGCGGGCCCAACAAACCACAAACAGCAAAATGCGATCCTTCTACTTTCTCTTTCGAAGCACTACCTCTGTCACATAAGTAGTGGCCCGTTTCAATTCGCACAAACGGAGGTCAAACGTGCGAGTCAGAAACTTGACTACGAGACTGAAGCAACTTGGGAGTGTGGCATATCGAGAGTTATTTTTGGAGCCCTCAAACGTTCCAAATGGTGCTGCCGTTCTTGCGATATGGCAAAAAGGGCTCAAACGCGACTTTGCAGTTTTTCACGGCAATGGGTGGGGTACAACATGCTTGCCTTGCCCTATAAGAGGTGGATCGATCTGAGCCATTAACAGGAGAGACGTACGGTTTGATGTTTTGGCGTGCAGTTAAGATTCGGCTTGTTCCCAAACAGAATTTGCAAGGGTAAGGATTGGAGTCCGCAACAAAATTTAGCTTGTTAACAACAGCCCTGCATGCAAATGATGGTCAAAGGCCAAGATACACCTTGATCTGTGCAAGATCATCTATCTTGCAGATTAGCCAACGTTTGGAAAGCCGTGCATACCTACATCAAGCAAGAAAACGCCAAGAATTTTGGCAGCACTGCGAGATGATGGGAAAGATGATCCCCCAGAAATATGACAGTGGTGTTGTCAACGTGTTAAAATGGTGTAGTAATACCTATTCGTTGTCTACAACAAGGTGCTCAATGAATTTTGGCAAATTGGGTTGGGATGTACATGAATATGGCCAATACAGTAATGTGGGGAATCGAGGGCCTCCATGGAAGTGAACAATGGCATTTTCAAAAAGCTTGTAAGTGTCATGTTGTATGGTGATGACTAATACAGGAAAGATCCACATCATCCTAAAATACGCCAATGAATCCAAATGTGGTAGCAGGGCTGATCTTGCCAAACTTTGCCAAGAACTCGAGATCGGACACGACTTTTGAGACGGAGATAGTGGCAAAAGTTTGTCTCTCGTTATGCGCAGAACGCACAAGTACGAGCAAACAGTGGGGGCGGGGTTGGAGGTGCGGGTGGCTTACCGCGACTTCTATGTTCTCGACGGTGGTGCCAGCTCCAACACCCGCGAAGGTGATGCCGTTGATCTCGTTGTTCTCACCGATGACGGAGCCGCCGTACCAGACGCGCACGTACTTGAGCACACCCGAGTTGTCGTCGGGATCGTCACCACCATACAGACCCTTGCCTTGCGGCAGGCCCTCCACGGAGTTCTCATCGCCCTCAGCGAGCGTTAGGGGGGCGGACCCAAGGATGATGAGACCACCCCACTTGCCCCACGCCTTCTCCGCGGAGAAGTCCTCGGCGTCAGGGTCCAGAGAGCTGTCGGCAGTGGTGAAGGTGATGGGGTCGTCGGCCGTACCCTCCGCCATGATCTTTGCGCCCCGTTCGATGACGAGCGCGGGCGCGTCGAAGCCCTCAGCCACCTCCACGGCCTTGATGGTGGTGCCGCCCTCGATGGTCAGCGTCGCACCGGACTTCACGAACGTCTGCCCGCAGCCACCACAACGGCGGTCTGAATCCCCCCCGCGACACAGTGAACATGCACCACGATATAACCGGAAGAGATGAAGCGATGTCGTACTGCCCCCTCCAGCCATCCAGTGGGCGCCGTGGCTTCAGCGCGCAAGGGCCCCCGCGACAACAGCCTTGCCAGATTCCCAACAAAGCAGACACAATTTGCACAACGGCAGACAAGCTGCGTTCGCGACGAGATCGAGGCGCACCGCCACCCAAGGGCCATCAAAGGGCAAAAGCCTCCCACGGCTCCCCAACAACCCACAACACCCGCAAACGAAAACGCAACTGCCTTCGCAAAGCCGTCGTCTCTTCTTTCTCGCTCCTCAACCACATCCCAACGGCTCCAACGACGGGGATCACAACTCCAAGGTGAACTGCCTCGCAAACAAACGAATGCGCGATGGGAGCATGGCGGAACAGATGGCGCCCACGGAGAGTTTCTGTGGATGTAGTGCCCTCCCAACCATACGGAAGGCATCCCAACGCCAAAGTCACGCGACACGCCCGAATTGGGTCCCAGTCTGCCACAACCCGGCCCAGCCGCCATCCCATCCCCCCCGTGTTCCTCCCTCGCGCCCACGTGCACCCATCCCACGTGGTACATCCACTGTCCGTACATCCCATTGTCCCTGCCGGTTGCCTGTCGCCACGTCCACACACTAATCACGTCGCCCGGCCCCCGCACACCCCCACGCCCCCGACCCCACCACCTTACCTGGCACGTGAGCTCGACATCATCGACCGCAAACAGAGTCATGTCGACCTCGATGTCACCGCACAGATCCACGGACGCCGCGTTCGCAGCGCCCACTAGCAGCGCCACGGCGGCGAGCGCTGCGAGCACGGCGCAGCGCGCCATCCCGAACCGCAGCCCTGCACACACGCGACGCGGTCCCCGCGGCTCTCCCTTGCGCACTGGACGCCCCGGCCGGCCTGCTTGCCCGCTGGACAGCGCCCCTCTTTTGCCCTCCCAAGAGGCCACCCGCCACCGGGTCGCATCGGGTAGAATATTCGCGCAACCACTCCGTGGCGGGGAAAGTTGGCGGGCCCGCGGCGGTGCGCGGAACCCACAGACCCGGGCCCCAGCCGGGCGCACAATTCCTGCCTGGTCACATCACGTAATGCCTACGCGACGCTGGCACGTGATCACGTGCGGGGCCTTTGCACATGGTAGGCAGTGGGCGCGAAAGGGTGCTGACCTGATACGGTCGACACGGTTTGAAACATGTACGCACAACAGCATCGTGACATCCCGTACACGTGATCCCACACACGTGATCCCATACCGGTCAGTATTGCGTGGCATAGTGTGTAGTATTGACAGGGAGTTTCCCTCAACAATTGGCTATCTTTTTGTGCTTTCTGAACTGGACGATTGTAAACAGAGGCGTGGTGCTTGCAAAAAAGAGTGTGAACGGATATATGTTGATGCTTGTTCTCTTCGGTGTCCACAGCGGTCGCAAATGAACAAGGTTGGTGAGGGCGGTGCTGCCAGTGTTCTTTGCACGATTTTAGCTGCGTACTTTGCTGGTAGGATTTCATGTCGCCACACACGTGCAATAGCATTGCACCATTTTTTCTCTTAATGCAACTAATGTTCCTTTAGTCGCAATAGATTCATCTCCACCTGGCCAAAGCACACAACATGCAATGGATGTACACACAACCTCCGATCAAGCCGTCGGGAATATGGAAAGCACACCAATATGGCGGTTGCACATTGGTGCGTCAATGGATCGGGACTTGCTCACCGAATGTGATTTATGTTTGTCATGCAACATATGACTTCATGTTAGCCCACAACAAAGTAATGCATACCACAGCTTCTTTTATAATTCTGTGTCCATTCTGGATTGTCTCAGCCTTTCACCCTATGGTGGTGGTGGTGGTGATTATATTTGACTCAAATAGTTTGACTGATTGTGATGTTGGTGTGTGACTGTATGAGGGAGTGAGTGGGTGAGTGGCTGAATGTGTGAGCGGGTGACATGGTGGATAGAATTAAGGTGAATCATCCAACGAGTTCTCCTACCTCACTCTCAAGCCCTTTCAAGTAAAATATGAGGCACACCATTAGTACATGTACGAATCTCGACCTGGGTGTCGCCACTTCCAGGTTGCGGATCGGACCAACCTTAAGCAACCCAAGGCGTGGTGAAGGTTGCAAAGTCGTTGCTTTGTCCTGCGCCCTTTTTACACGCTGTTGCAATTTGCATTGCTAACTTTTCACCTCGCGGTTCTATGACATTATTGTTTAAGAAGTTATTGGCAAATTGTCCACAAGAGATCGTTACGTTTGGCAGGCCAAACCACGTATGTGCGCCACTTTGGAAACTAGACTACTATAAATGTGTGCGATTGATGTCAAGCTTTCCAACAACATAGGAATCATGTTCATCTTTCAAAAGACCCCCAGGAATGAATGTATTTCGTCACAGTTTAGAGATCTTGGGACAGCTGCAAGCCGATGACCAAGGTCGCATTGTGGCCCTCGCAAGGCCGGGCTGGAGGGCAAATTTATAGAGCTGAAATCAAACTTGGCTATTTAACTTAAAATGATTGGATTTGAAGACGCAGAATTGAAGTAATTTTCCCAGTCCTCGCTCTTTCAGAAAAGGCTATACCGGGTCCTCTATGAAGATTCACCGAACCCCTCCGATCCCTTGTCGCGATTGAGTGTTAGCTCAATTGGCATCTAGCAAAGTTTCACATTTCAACGAAATTGGTGAGTGCCGTTGTCTATACTGGAATGCCCTCCGTTTTTTTGGGAGGCCGCATTCGCACCAAGAACTCATTGCTGCTTTCTGATAAACTTGGCAGGAGCGCCATGCCACCCATGAGTTTATCCATCACTACGAGGAAATTGCCGATAACGGCAATGGCGAAATAGTGCGAGAGCGCAACTCGGGCCACGAAGTCGAGCATTCTCACATTGCCACTGAGTTATCCAGAAATGGGATCCAAACGTAGGGCCCATATCCGTGGGCAGCACGGTGCAAAAGCGCGGTGGTGCCAACCCCGGCTAGACCTAACGTGAAAGCGGCAGCCGTAAAATTGTCCAGTCAGAAAGCCATGCGGACAAAAATGATAGTCAAGGCGTATTACGTGAACCGCTGATGATTGTCCAAGGCTAGCCTGTTTGGAGACATGAAAAACGGATTGAATGACCACATTGGTCGGCGGACGCCAGTTACAAGGAATTTCAGGACATGGAATTTCGAATTTGTAGTTCCCTAAATTTTCTGGCCATGCGGATTTGAGATGCTGCTGTTGCACTTGACTGCGCATGGCAATCGTCCAAAGCTTGACATGGACAATCACTGCCAGGCAGACTCAGGAGATTTCCAAAGGTTTTGCAGCGACTTGTTTGCAGAAAAGAGGTGCCCATAAAAAGTCGAACATTCTGTATGTACCAAAACACGCCTGCTTTCCGCCCGCCAAAATCTACACCCAGAATCAGAGTGAGCTCACAATTCACTTGCAAGCCTCATGTTCGCCATGCCATAGCACCAACTTCATCATTGGTTAGATTCAACTATCTCAAATCAAATCGTTCAAAGTTCCCAGTATTGAACACCAATTTGAAACCCAAAGCTAAATCATGTCAATTAAAAATTCGTCCAACCTCTCTTCAAGTGATTAGAAAGTCACACAAACAAATTACAAGGCACTTCACGTAGTGCACTCAGTGGTGTAGTATCGGCAACCCGAACAACTTGCATTTGGCTCCAACGTTGAAAATGGCTTTCAACTGGGGCCACAAACATTTGCCAGTGGATAACGACGTGAATGTAAATCAACGTTAAGTATGACGCGACGTCTCGTCCGCGTCCGTGTTTTTGACGCCCCCGGTCTGGCAATTGGCGGGGTGTCCACCGGGCGAAATAATATTACTGCCTGCACCAAATCGGTGACTGCTTGCACCAAGTCACGTGCACACTTTGTCCTAACCTCAGTTTTAGGGTTAGGTTTAGTTCAGGGTGAGTTTTAGGGTTAGGGTTAGGGTTAGGACAGTTTAAGTTTAGGTTTAGGGTTTAGATTTTAGGTTAGGTTAGTTTTGACGGAGTTGGACATGATGTGCACGTGACTTGGTGCAAGCAGTCACCGTTTTCGTGCAAGCAGTCACCGATTTGATGCAGGGAGTAATTTTATGGCGGGTGTAATTGCCGGTGCCCTCGATAGGCAGCACAGCAGCCGGCCCACTCGCGGATGCCCGGCAGAGGGTGCGCGCTCTTAAACGGCCTCCGAGGCCACACGACAGACTTGACCCCAAGCCAAGCATTCATTACAAAGCGTGCTATTCTTTTATAGGTACTCTCTCGATACCCCGGAATTAGAATGTACACCCGCTGACGAACAGCTTCACCGCTGTCATCCAGATTCGCACCGATCACCACTGACCTCCCGACCGATCCTACCAGAATGAAATCCCACGAACTCCCTATGATATCTTCACCCCGTTCCTCACCCCAAATCCTGGCACCCTTTCCTCCACCAATCCTCTAGGCCGGCCTACCTGGACCCGTCCGCCCGCCGGCGTTCCTAGGGTCCCTACCCACTAACTCCCTCATATGCCCTTACTCCCTCGTTCCTACCTATTCCGCTCCAAGACCTCCGACCCACTTCCCATCTCCCCACTTCACTACTCATGCCCCCTCCCCACAGTCTACCGGTTCCCACTCAGCACCTTTTCCCAACAGTACCCCCCCTCTGAAGTTTGAGCCTCCTGGCGAAATGCCGATGAATGACTAATCCAGAAAATCATCGAGCGTCCTGTTCCGTTCGAAGAGGGTGGGGCCGCGCACTCGGAAGTCCGGGGGATCAGGTGGACCCAAGGCTAAGGCCCAAATCCCGGGTCGTGCGTAGATGTACACTCCCCCGGCTTCACCACGGGTGACCCAGCGCCCTCCGATCCATCGCGCTCGCGACCGTCGCGTAACTTCCCGGATGTGAGCCGCCCGTTCATCATAATCCGAGGCCATGTCCAATCCCCCCATCTCCGTCCAACCCGCATTCCACCAAGAATCATGTTCTGCTTTATCCGCGATTGCGCGATCCACGTCTTCTGGCCACCACTCAGAATTGCGGATACTGGCCGCGGTCACGTCGCCCTGATGCGCCGGCGCGCGAAACCCTGACTGCGCGCGACTCTCGTTCCCCGACCTCCGGTCCTCGCGGAAACTTCCCTGGCGATCCCCTTCCTGACCATCGTTTGACACCCAGGCCGCCACAGCATCGGGCGTCCTCCGTGCGAGGCGGTCCTCCACACTCTCCAGACGCCGCTGCATGGTGGTCATCTCACGCCTCAATAAACGAAGGTCTCGCGCGATTCGCGACAATATGTCTTCCTCCTCTCGAGTGGCATCCGTGTCCGTCGGAGTCAGCGGTCCCCTCAACTCGGCCTCCCGCATCCTCATCCGGACCGCGCCCCTCGACTGGGTCCGCGACGGCGCCGACACGTCCGCCGGCTGCGATTGAAGCTCCCATGCCTCGTCCGCCTCCTCCTGGGCCGCGAGCCCAGACCCCCCGCGCAACGGCCACGTCTCCATCCCCGCGTGCCTCCAATGCGCTCGGACTCCGCGGGCCGCCCCGATCGCGTACGCGATAAGGCTTGACCTGATGGCGTGCAAATAACCTCTCGCGATGCGCCACGCGTACCTTGACCGCCCCCAGCCGGCCAGTCCACGTCACCTCAAAAGGCCCCGTCCACCTGGCCCCCAACTTGTTTGGTCGTACCTCCCGGCACACCAGCACCCGGTCCCCGATGGTCACGTGGGCACCTTTATGTCGTGGAGCCCTCCGCACGACTTCCTGACGGGCAATGGCGGCACGTCGAATCTCTGCCAGCCTGGCAGCATG